CTCGCATGGACTACCAAACGCTTTATTGGGCCGACGTCAGACCGCTGCTGGAATACGCCAACCAAGTTGTCTAATCAGGACGTACGAAAGACGTCACCCTCATTGAGCGTGTGCAGCGAGCCGCTACGAGAATGGTTGTGGGCTTCAAATCCGTGGACCACGAAATACGTCTCACGATGCTTGATCTCTTCCCCCTGGAATACCGTCGCCTCCAAGGAGACCTAATTCTTACCTATGTCCGGTTTGAATACAGCTTGGCAAACAGGTTTTCCATCGTTGACACACGGCGGATACATAGCAAGAAAAATTTTAAGCTCAGAGCGCACACATTCACTTGCGTGGAATGACCTTCTTCCGACGGTTGTCCACGCTCCTTCTAGAACCCAGTTTAACGCACTACTAGACATTTGTTTATGCGAATCCCCGCGCTGACAAAGAGCAGTGCTACACCCTTTTTTCACTTGTGCCTTTCAGGTGAACGACAGCTACTGACTGACAAGAACTAAACCGACCCAGGAAACTTGGGCAATAGCCTCGATCCTGTGTATCAATTCGTGAATCCGTGGGAGAGTGAAATGACGGTAACACACGAGCTGGAAGGCGAACTGTATAGAACGCCGTTGGATTCTCTGGGCAACACACACAAATAGTTAGGCTCGGATGAAAAGTCCAGCAGGTTGGAATGAATATGTCATGGAGGCAGTTGGGGTCAGGTGGAGAGTTTGTTGTATTTGCAGTTAATGGTGCAAATGGGCGAGGGGGTTCGGTCAAGAGAAGAAATGGAACAATTGCGGGTATGCCATCAAACTAGGTATGATAGTGCTGTACCATCATCGGCCTGACATGCTTCGGTTTTTGAACAGCCCTGTAACGGACGTCACATTTAAGGTGATCGAGTTGGGATGTGCGGTTCTTTGAGTAGCGGGATTCATTTCAGGCTGGCTGGGGGAACAAGGTGGAACGAGGCCGATGTGGGATCTCAGGGATTTTGATCCGTTTGGGGGCTCCTGTGGTTGTAGATCACAGGCCAGGTGGACTGGATAACAACAAACCACGTCGTCCGTACCGGATATTGCCGAAGTTCAAAGCTTGGGAAGATTAGTGGATGGGATGAGATTAGTAAGGCATGGTGAGTTTGAGGAGGCGTCAAATGGGATAATGTGCACTAATATACTTAGAAGGAAAAAGTTGACGTCAACCGCGATTAGGGTGATGACAACAATTGATTATATTGGATAGGACATAAACTGATTTGTACTAAATAGACAAAGGTTGGGTTTGCTAACATATGATATTAAAGTACATTGGATCTAACGTAAGCCGATATAGGCATGCAGAGTGGTGGTGTGGTTAGAGAAATCAGATTTATATGGGCTGAAGCGAGCGAACATCCGAGATGACGGGTTGATATGGCGTTTAATAAATTAGTTGGACAGCATCTGGAGAGAAAATAAGTGTAGGGGAAATAGTCTCCGGTCCCCGAAACACTGCTGTTTGCTTCAAGTTAACAAGTGATGCATGGTGAATAAAAAGCCTTGGGGTATTAGTCTTGCATGCTGGTGGCGGAGGGTTAGGAACCTTTGAATACATACATTTCTCATTGTATATGTTCACTCCTGGGGGCGAGATGGCCCAAGTGGTTAGAGCGCGAATTTACTGACCGGAAGGTCCGTGGTTCGAATCCGACCTCCACCACTCGACTTCCCCTGTCTAGGCTTGGGCAACCTGGCAGTATCCCAGCCCTCGTGCTTCCTTCGGGTGGCATGACAGCTAGGCACCGAAAGGGTGCTACAGCTGAACGCTTTCTTTCTTTTTTCTTACTCCTGGAAGCAGTAGGTAGGTGTGTGTTGCTTGGTTGACTAGGTTGGCTTTGGTACGGTACAACCACAATTACGGCAGGGGCATCTACAGTTCCGCACGTCCGTTTCCGGGCTATTCCATCTGTATTTTTTGACGTTCCATCTGTTTTTTGACGAATTTCTTTTTTTACAGACGGGAGGCAGTTTTTCCATTTTTCATTTTTTCCTCGTCTGTAACTATAACTTTGCCAGTTAAATGGCATGACCGGGACGATTCCAAGCCAGCAGCAACAAACAAAACAACAGTGCTCTTCTATCNCAGCTAGGCACCGAAAGGGTGCTACAGCTGAACGCTTCCTTTCTTTTTTTCTTACTCCTTGAAGCAGTAGGTAGGTGTGTGTTGTTTGGTTGACTGGGTTGTCTTTGATACGGTGCAACCACAATTACGGCAGGGGCATCTACAATTCCGCACGTCCGTGTAAGCCATGAGCGTCATGGCATCTCCGGGCTATTCCATCTGTTTTTTGACGAATTTCTTTTTTTACAGACGGGAGGCAGTTTTTCCATTTTTCATTTTTTCCTCGCCTGTAACTATAACTTCGCCAGTTAAATGAGATGACCGGGACGAGTCCAAACCAGCAGCAACAAACAAAACAGCAGAGTTCTTTTATCGATTTCCTGAATTAAAGACCATGCGCAGAACTGCCGGCGATGGGCGAAGCACCCGTGCTACTGGAGGGATGGCGGGTATACAAACGCGTCATGGTACAACGCAGCAGGATGACCCTCCCTGCGGGACGTGCCGGCCACCAGAACGATTGGGTATGGGGTAAGACCAATTCAATAATGAAGACTGTTGACTTGAACTAAAACTGAAAAAAACTGTTGCTAGCCCTCAGTGCCCTTGTGCACTTGGGTAATTGACCAGGGTCTCGAAAGGAAAAATGGCGATCGGGATGCGTAACTGTGATGGCGTCCCTTCTGCCGGCCCCTTTTCTTGACTTTCCGGATAGCACTGGAACGACCCGCATGAATCTGGGACTGTAAACTGAAGGGTTCGGACAGCGGGCAACTCATTACGGGCTGTTTGCAGGATTCACCAAAATGGACTGAAGTGAGAGGGCTACCGGTGCCGGACGCCAGGAGCTGAATAGACGCCGCGTCGCGCGTTCTCCCTCTGGTCTCCTGTTTGGCTATAATTGTGACGACTACGAAATTGTCAGGATGTAGTGTTCTCGTCAACTTATTTAATCCATCTGCAGCTGTTTCTTTACAAATGGCATTGAGAGGTTGATCCAAGAGTTGCAGTTTATTAATCCAATCGAGGCCCAGAAGATCAAGGCCTGTATATTTTGTGAGGTAGTGAGTACCATTGAGTTGAATCCCCTTGAACGTTACGGAACAGTTTAGCTTCCCGGTCAGTTTGAAGCTTCTATCAGATGCATTACGAAGGGTGCAATTTGTTGGCTCCACTTGTGGCCTTCCAGTTACATCCCAGGTTCCTTTTAAAATCAGAGCAAGGTCAGAAACTCTGTCAAGTTTGAGGGTAACTGGTGTGCCATTGATACCTACTATGACGAGGCTACGTCGACTGGGGGATTTCATCCTGAATCCCTGTCTAGGCTTGGGCGACCTGGCAGTATCCCATCCCTCATGCCTCCCTCGTGTGGCACGGCAGCTAGGCACCGAAAGATTGCTACAGTTGAACGATTTTTTTCATGCTGAATGTAGTGATCATGGTCACTGCTTGTGTCCTTTTGTCGGGTCGGTTTTTGCTTGAGCACTTGAAGTTGTCTTTGCAGCACTCTTTGTGACCCTTTCGACTGCACTTACTGCACCTGTGGTTACGGCAGAGACAGCCGCGTGAACAATGCCATTCTTTACAAAACCAACAAGGTGTAGGCGGTTTTTCTTGGAGTCGTTTAGAATGTTAGTGCATTTTTAAAGTTATTTCGCATACAATGTCAGGCTGAGAGAATTGGGGATGTCAAATCATCGCAGCCTTAGCCTTGAGATTGATAAGATGCTGGCGTTCGGTGGTAAGTTTCTGGAGCGTCAACTCCGGATCCTGCTTAATTTGACTCAGTAGCCGGGTGCGAATATCTGCATCATGTGGCGATTGAAGACCAGCCACGAAGATGAGACATTTCAATTGATCCTCGGTTATGGAGCTGAGCTGAAGGCGCTTGCATCCTTTTGATTGCACCGGTATAAGTGATGAAATCTCCAGTATCCCTTTTGGTGATCTTGAGACACTGATAGAGAATATTGAACAAGGAACTTCGCTCACCGAATATTTGGGCCAGCATCTCTGAAAGAAGACGGAGGTCCGACTGTTTTTTATTGCATTCACTGATATACTGTTGCTGCTAGAAAATTATTTGAAGCAGCTGTGCCAAAACTGGCATCATAGTTTCGGATTTTTGTCACTTGTTTTGACTTGTTGAACGGTCGTTCAAATCTGTATCGGTCCCTTGGCTTTCTGCTCCGATACTACAGTATACCAGAAGACTCGTTAGCTTCAGACAGCCGTCTATGGAAGATTATTACAACCGTATTTACAGGGTCATCACAGAGTGTTCCACAAGGTGGTGATAACACTCACACTCGTCTCCATGGTTCCAACCAAACCAACCCTCGTTACCCTGTGGCTCCGCTTCATTTTTTACCCACTACAAAACCTTTGACATTTTCTCTAGCCACTCACTGTTCTACTGTTTCAGCTTCCTTTTAAATGCGTACCGTCGTTCGTAATTCCGTTGTGGAACCGTGGCTGTGCACCCAATAGCATGAACTGATATATTTATTGGGCTGCATTCCAGTCGAATAGTATGTTTCGGGCCGAAACTGGAGAGGCACACAATTCTGAAAATGTCCCTGCTGCCACAACCGGCGTGGGTCAGTCCACTTTTAATTGTAAATCGCTGGTCACACGACGTTCCTGGTTAGCCCCAACGACATGGGCAAAGTTTCCTAACCGCCGTCCAACTGTACAAGTCAGGTGAGGTCCATAATCTTTTTTGTGTTTCCTTTCTCGTTGTTGATGACCTATCCATAGTCTCGTCTGTTAACATGACAAGATCGGATCTAAAAGCGGTGGATACCCCAGTATTCATCCAGCGTACTCTAACTTATTTCATTTATCACATTTTGGAGGTGCAAAAACATGCATTATCTGCATTATCTACTCACTGGCATCTCACTGTTGTATGACTGAGGAACTCTCTTCTATGGAAAACCCACTGCCATGAGGCATTGGTTGACCAGAGAGCATCCATACATGGCGTGCAATGGCATTTATTCGGAGATCAATTCCGGGTTTTAAAAAAGGAATCAAATAGTGTTTGCCTGTTAAAAAATCCTATGGTTTGTAAGCCTTGATCTTCTGATGAACATTTCAGAGACTTTCGAAATTCAAATGTGAACCTAGCTAATTGCTGTAATTCCCCGTTTCCATTTTTTCACTCTCTCATTATTCTTCAGCTTGATCTCTTTGTCATGCGAACTGTACAAGTTGCTAGCCATGAGGGCCTCAGCCCTCGTTTGATTCGGAATTCAGAGATCGTAGCAAAAGGGTGATTCTCTCTGGTAATACTGCAGGTGTTTATTGCTGAGTTCACTCGACCGATCGTTAATGCTATCCAGTAGGACTAATACCTTTTTGTGTTACCGATGTGGCTTCACACCAAATCATTAATTTTCGCCGCCAAGACCCTCCATTGGACTTGAAATTGGAGGTTTCAGGAACGGACAGACTTACGATAATGTATCGGATAAGTGGGATTGTTAGTTTTTATTTATTTTGAGAGGATTATGAACAGAATGTCTTTCGGGCCGATTCATCATCCGGACCGAGAGCTTTCTCTTCCAGGGTGTTCTAATTAACAAACAATGGCTACGAAAAATAGTACGACTTGTAACTATGACCTTTCGTACGTTTTTTTGAATTCCGCAACTTGCAAATACCTGTCACATTGTGACGGGTTCTGCTGGGTGTGTACAGATTCTTTTTCAACTCATGACTCTGTCGAAATGATTTAGACATGGTACACAATTTCGGGAGGTTTTCTCTCCCATAGCTCTACAATGACATGGAATCATGAGTTTTTGATTAGTTGTCGCCTATAATGTAGTCGTGTGGTGGTAATGAAAACCTCTGGTTATCGTATATGAAGGTTTTCCGTTACGCAACATCTTACATCCTCTTTCTCATAGGCATGCCATCCCACTTGAGGAGAAAGACTCGCCGGCAGCCTGGGTTGGTGATTTTGTTGATGCGGCGGTCCCCCTACGCCAGGTTGAACCTACTCCTAGCGTGTTTCGGTCCACGCCGGAAACACCAACGCATGCAGACGCACCTGATGAGAACCAGGAAGCACTGTTGGAGTTTCTGAAAGTTCATGGTTTTCGGCCTTATCAATTGATTCTGTTTTTGTTCTCCATAATCACCTATGTGTCTGATATATGCTCGGATGCCTACCTGGTCTATGCTTATCATCGGCAGGTGAGTTGTAGTTTTCTAAGTACTGTTTAACCAGCGTTGTTCCAGCGCTATTTCCATCCTTTTGTACCAAGTCTGGTCGCCTCTAGACAAAACTGTGGAACACTATCGTGCAGTTGTCCTTTACTCCTAGGGCAGCTAGTGGTTTGAAAAGAATACTTAGCCACAAAGAGGTCAGAGACGGTTTTCCATGCACATCCAACATCACCCTAGGAGAACATGAGTGCCACTCGGTTTGTTCGTATAGCCAGAAAAGTCCAAGTTTTAGTGCGTCCATTTTGACATGGTACAAGATACCCCCCAGTATTTTCACTTTTTTTCGTACCTCTTTGTAACGTCACCGCGAAGAATGTTGACTTATTGCAGAACTGGTGCATGCAATCTTGGACTGCGAATGCTACTGGATATTTTCATCACTTATGGTGCCAGAGGTAACCTTTCCTAAAGTTAAGTGGCCTTACATAGAATAAAGTAGTAAGGATAAGTTGACTTCGTAGTTGCGACACATGCTAATCCACTGCAAACATTTACTCACCGTTTTTTATAGCATAGCATAGACGTCATACATGCATAACCATTGTGTAGTACCAGGCATCGCTTCCACTTCAGGCCAACGCAAAATTAAGATAGATAAAGATAAAAAGATAAAGCGTTCAGCTGTAGCACCCTTCCGGTGCCTAGCTGCCATGCCACCCGAAGGGAGCACGAGGGCTGGGATACTGCCAGGTTGCCCAAGCCTAGACAGGGGAAGTCGAGTGGCGGAGGTCGGATTCGAACCGCGGACCTTCAGGTTAGTAATCCGCGCTCTAACCACTTCGGCCATCTCACGCAAAATTAAGAAAGCCATTGTAACGTTGAGAACTGTGAGGTTACCACACTTTCCTGGATTTTGGTCCACGTCCGGCTCGTCACCGGTCCTAGTGACTAGTGTTTCTGTCTCTTCGTAACCGGATGGACCAGGCAAAATACGTCTTTCCTTGTCTGGCGATGTTTTTGTTGGATGACATTCGTGGGGATGTTAAGCCAACTTAACTGACGGCGTCTTACTCTTATGCAGGGTTCAGATATGCCTATTTCTCACATAGGTGTGAGTTGTTTGGTCTCAGTCACTTCCTTGTACTGAATTAGGCTCTTAGTTATCCCACTCCCCCCGTACTTTGTAGCCTTCCCTCGAAACTTTTGTCCTGAAGGTTGAACGAGAAGTTGGTACCGGTATTTACTGCTGACCTATTGTAATCATGATGATCACTGTGGCTATTGGTACATTTTCGTGCCCCTCACTATAACGAAAGGTGTATTTAGCAGCTCTGCTAAAGGCTATATTTTCAAGTCCTCCTCTGACTTTGCACAATGCTTGTGCGCAGCAAAGTATCGGTGCTTCTAGGTACCTCGGTTATTTCACACGATCATGCACAAAACCAAAAAATCGGACTTTCTCATTTCTGTCAGTTAAGAAGCCGGACAGTATCAGGGCGTGTGATGTGCAGTTTCGCTGTGCAGGATGAGTGGGACTCAGAAATGTGGAAATCACAGGCAATTTCTATCAAAGCATCGCTAAGTTGGTGTGTCGAATATGTCGGAGTGACAAGTTGAGTCCTCAAGTTTGGCACACTGCAGGGACCCATAAATTACTACAGTTCATGGTGGTAATCTTCTGTCACAAAATCCGTGATAAGTTAAACATCTTTTATGCTTTAAATAGATGCCCAAATCATTCGAATGTCGGGCATGGAGTACCGATTCCTTAGCTTAATCACTCCTTTGTTCGCGGTCACACCACCTAACCCACCGCTGATTAGCTGTATTCGTGTAGTTGACCATTACCAATTGGAACGACCCTACTTTTCAGTGAATCTTTGATCTTCAGTTCTGGTTGGTCTTACACAACTGTCCAAAATGGCCACTAATTACTGACTATAAGTTCACTGTCCGCCTAGCAAACCGGATTGGGAAAGAAGCGGTCATCTAGTATGGGCCTTTATGTGACGTACAGTACTTCTGACTGTGGTGGGTACAGCGAAGTTTTGTTTTTTAATGTTTACTGCCCAGTATATAGACCCGATTCACTTTTCGCTACCCAAAATCTCTTTCAAATTGTCGGCAAACAATTCGGCATTTATAACGGTATTGTGTCTTGTTCCTATGCTCCCAAAATGCCACTTTCGGTGAGCGAAGGTGCCTTCCAGTTCGTTCATCAGTCACTTTATGTGACCAGCAATGCGAGCAAGGCTAGATTCAGGCTAGTTGATGCGTTCTGCTTTGACTGGCTATGTCTGTCCAGCCACACGGAAAAATAATAGTCCCATTCCGTTTATAGTTTTGTTGCTAGTTTCCAGATGCACCCAGTAACATGTATCCTGATTCGTCTCTTTGGTCTGATCGGTCAGCGCGTCGGCAGTTTGTATCAACAATGATTTGTATAAAAGTTCACCTTGTTTACTTTAACCGATGTGGGTGAGCGCCGTTTGAATTCAATATCCACAAATGGACAACCTGGATGTGGCCTTCTTTTGCGCGGAGAGATGGAGGACAGGAGTTGGCGGGAACTGAATTTCTGTTGCCCATTAGCCGGTCAAAAACGGTTGCCCACTGTAGTAGTCTATCGGAACGAGCTGTGTCGAACGTTCTTTTGGTAGTCGATCGCATTCAGCGAAAGCATGTGACGGCTCGTTGCGCTCATCCCTACGTTGGTGTTACCCGTGTATTCTCTTCCAAGGTGTATCGTTATCGTCCGCAGGTAATCCTTAGCACACCGTCAGCTTTGAAGCAACATCTGCGGAACAAGTTAGTGAAGCTTACTCGTGATATGTTGGATCCTCACTTATTTACAAGATAGTGGCGGCTCAAATTAGTTAATAAGTATGTCTAGTGCAACGTGTTCTGGGTGAACTAAAATAGATTTCTGGGTTGTTGGTCTCCGTTTCTATTCTGGCTCCTTCTGCGAGTTCTCCCGTCCGCTGAAATCCACCAGCAATAAAAAGTAATAATAAACTAGTAATAAAAGAAGACACACCGGCATGACTTTCTTCCAAAATCTACTGTTTGTGGTTTTATAACTGTGCAAATCTGCCCTCAAACTTCTGTCGTATTGGTGTTTGGTTGATAGGCCTCTCGACTTCCCCTGTCTAGGCTTGGGCAACCTGGCAGTATCCCAGCCCTCGTGCTTCCTTCGGGTGGCGTGGCACCTAGGCACCGGAAGGGTGTTGCAGCTGGATGATTTTTTTTATTTACTAGCCTTGTCTTTATTTTCGTTGCAATTAAGCGATCCATGGATGCAGTAATGTTACTCATCATCCAGCCGTAATATTCTTTCAGTGCCTAGCTACTATGTTACCAGAAAAAAAGCACGAGGGCTGAGATACGGCCAGTTTACTTGAGCCTAGACGGGGGTAGTCAAGAGGCCGGGGTTGGGTTCGAACTACGGACCCTCGGTTTAGTTAGTTCGTGCCTTAGCCACTGAGTCACCTCGAGCTCTGCTTAGCGCTCAATACCAGCCGGTGGGTTTTTTTTAAGCAATTGTTCGTTTGCGAGATTACTTGGATCCGTCTTTGTATTAAGATGGATTTCGATACAAATAGAAGTGCCGATAAATCTTTCAAAACAAGTCAGCAATCACGGCTGACGCTAGCCGACTGCGTTCGGGCAACCGAGTGGAATTCCACCCTTTCGGGTCTCCTTTTCAACATATAATTGTGTCTCCTTAAATGAATGGACAGAGGGTGGTTCCCGTAAGTTAATCACGTACCATTTATGGGGCAAAACCGAACAAGTCGCAGTCCGGATACGCGGTACTTGTCGTGTCACGTACGATTTTCAAATTCGGCTGAAAGAATTACGTAGGCGCCGAATTTGTTTTTGCTTCTTCTGAAGTAAGCGTCATCGCTGGTGCTACTCTAAAGTTTCCCCTTAATTGACTGGTAGTTTACCAACCGACATGCTAAAACCCTGCCCTCCACTTTCATTGTAGGGTGACTACTACTGGTCTTATATGACCTTGGCATTACTCATAATCCCTGCCATGGTTATGACTGCATTCAGTTTGGCCTGGTATGTCCTCGATCGGAAGGTCAACGTTGATCCACCCCGAACTTGTCGTGTATGGACATTGCGCTTATTCTTCCATGGGCTCCAATTGGCTCCGATCGTTCGGTACGTTGGTCTTCTACCCGAATGACTTCCCTACGTTGTTCCATTCGTACAAGCAAATTTATCTCTGGTTGCTCAGTTTGCATACTCCTATTTTCTAAACGGCTTGTGGTTTGTTACAAGAGCCAGGATGGAGCACTGTTTTCTGTGATCTCTTATCTGTCGATTTCACGTTCTACTTGTATTATACATTAGTTTGCCTACTGGGTAGTGATTCGTACAGTGCAAGAACATTATGATATGCTTTGGGGACAGCCATCATGCGATGCAGTAATATCGCATTTATACAGTGACAGTCACCGTCGGTGTTTACGATACTGTCATCCATTTTGAGTAACCAGTACACTGTGTGGCAGTCATACGAAATCCACATTTCCGGTGTACAGCCTTAGGGACAGATTCGCAACCCAGTGTGCTACTGCGGAGGTTTAGGTCGGACGTGTCAGTGAGATGGCCGTGGTATCCTTTGTGTCAGAACCGTCCCTTTGGCTCTATCCAAGCTTTCAAAGAGTTCAGCTGTATCACCCTTTCGGTGCCTAGCTACCATGCCACCCGAAAGAAGCACGAGGGATGAGATATTGCCAGGTTTTCCAAGTCTAGACAGGAGAAGTCGAGATGCAGAGGTCGCATTGGAACCATGGATGTTCCGGTCGGTAAATTCGCGCTCGAAGCACGGAGCCATCTCGCTTTCAATGAGTATCGTAGGCCATTATAGTCCAATGATTTCCACAGAACATGGAGGTTGGGATATGGGCCCTTGGTTACTGTGTACCCATAACCTTCCCTTCCATCACGAAGAGACTTACCGTGATGTGGCGGTTTGTGTTTTTCCGTAAACCGTTGAGCTACATCTGGGGGTGTCCGTGTGATACTGGCGGAATCTACTATCAGGTTGGTCAATAGTTAGAGGTCTGTGGTCCTTCAGGTTAGAGTTGGAACATGCATTGCGACGTGTTCTTCAAAAAGGACAATACATTTGCGTCTCCACCACTGCCTTGTGGTCGGACTTTTTAGCCAAAGGCTTTAATTGGAGACCTTTGTCACCTCCCCATCTAGGTGTAGAAGGTGTGTGTAGGCTGGAAATATCCCAGCCCGCGTACAACCACGATAACTGCAATTAACAACACCTTCACACCACATCGGCCGTCGCATGGTGTCATCAGGCGGCTGGCCTTACTTTCTGCATGCAGCAAGGCGGATAGGTGAAAACAGACTACTCTTGGCGCCTCTCTTTTTCATGTACTTTCTCCCTTCCTTCACCCCATTACTAAGTCTCCTAGGCCCATCCATTAGGACTGAATTCCTCATTCATTGTGTAACAGTTTGACGTCAGCAGGCGCTGACAACACCAGGGATCTCGAAATCCATCTTCAAACCGCCACGCCCGGTCTGCCTGTCTGTCTGTTCTTAATGTTCGCACTCTTGAGCAGGTAGGGTAACAAGCTACTCTTGATCTCACGATGGATTCGCTTGAAATGGATGTGTGCTGAAACGCGGATTCATTATGCGAGCAAAGTGATTGAGCTACTCGCTTCAGTCTACGCACCTTTGGCGATCCAAAGGCCACTGAGGCAGGATGTGCAGTGGTCGGCGTCGGTCTGGAGTATTCTTGCTTGCTTGCCTCTGTATTGTTCGTCTGGCAACGTCCGTGAAAAAGTTTCACAAGCTGAAGCTGATCTCTCTGTTTATTGTGTCCGTTTAAGCCTCAACCAACTGTAGCTCCGACACCATCAAAGGTGATGACCTAATTGCCTTGTTACGGTCCCTGGAAACCAGCTGTCAGCGAAACAACCAAGAACTGAAACTGACAGGGCCATCTTCGGCAAGGAAGAACGCTTTATCCACTGGGCTGAACACTCTGAAGGACAATTCCTGCGAACACCTACCGCCACCCATTAGAATCCTATAACTTCATTGGAAGCGTGAACGGTGATCCTGTAACCCCACGCCCATGGCCTCCGAGGTTTCTGACTGCATATGTCCTTTCAAGCACCTCCAGCTGCCGGTCTGGATTACCCTCCACCCTTCTAAATTGGGGTGAAGTCCTCGGTCAGCGCTTGTATATATTCTGTTCGCCTGTATCTGGGCAAAAGAGGCTGTCTCAGAAAACTGGTGAGAATAGGTGATGGTTACCAGTTCGAAAAAGGCCCGTGGTTAGTGCGACACAAGAGAAGTCAGCTTGATTTCAGTTATCCTTCTTCGCCTTATGGTGGTTCATGAAACACCGATTCAATAGCAGCAAGCAGGATTTAGGCCTAGTATGGGGTTACATTGACTAGATCTGCACGCTCCGTCAGGTACTAGAAAAACACCATACGTATAAGCGACCCACAATTCTAGAATTCTTGGATTTCCGATGCGCATTTGACTCGGCTGATCGGTCTGTTCTTGCTGACACGCTTGCCCCGGACGCTCAGGTTTAGGATCCGATGCACCAGTATTCGTTTTTTGTATGATAGTTTGTGGGCAGTAAGTCGCACGGACTGGCTTTGACGATATATTTTGTTTTGGATGCTCTGCGTTCCTATTTGTCGGTTGTGTTCGTGAGTTTTCGAACCTAGTTTCAATGTGCTCTCGTTTGAGAGTGATACCAACTTTCATATAATAATGATAATTAATAATCTGACTCAGGAAGTTCAGCTATAGCATGGCCTTCCTCATATATTCGCTGGGATGGCGTCTGCAGTATGCTATTCATCCTGAGATCCCGGTGGATAGCACGTGGTCTGTTGACCCCGGGAGCCTCATCGTGATAAATTGTATACTTATTTCACAAACAGGGGGCTAAAAATTCTCCTTCTTTAATTCTACAGCCTGGCCGATGCAGTCTACTACGGACTAGCCAGTCGACGAGCGGAACTTAGTTTGGCGATGGCTGTACAATACACTCAGCTCATGTTGTACGAAGACGCCGATTCGGCTATGCTGCGAATGATCGAGTGCTTTATGGAAGCTGCGCCGCAACTGTTGCTCCAGTTGTACATTATCATCACTCAGGGAACGCCGGAACACAAAGTTCAACGTGAGCCTTCCTTCCGATTTTGTTGTTGCTCAATCGTTCACCTCTCCCACACTTTCCATAACATTGCGAAAAAACTTGATTTTTAAAAAAATACATCTCGTCGTAGGGTTTTCGGCTTCCGAGATGTACACGACAAGTCACGAAAAACTAACTCCGAAAAAGAGTAACTTGTGTTAAATTTATCGTGTATTTCATCTATTTGATTGCCTAATGCATCCCATAGGTGTCAAATCGTGTTGGTTGAATTCTAATTTAGCCTATTTCTCATGGTCAACTTTCCATCCGTATTACTCCTGCTCGGCTAAGAAAATCCTCTTCCGAGTTCTACTGAGCTTAGACTTATTCCTACACTAGGTCATTGGCATACCCGCTGATTGTATCGATCCTCGAGGAAGTCTGAGGGACCAAACCGATTGATCCACCGAACGAGCTTGCTGTTTGGAGAAGCTAGTAACCCTCAGATGTATCCAATATAGGTATCGTGATATATGGCGCCTTTTGGCAAAGCACTGTTTTATTAAATCAATCCCAAGAAAACATCTTCGGGATACATATCCGAAACGTGTTCCATGGTGACACGTACTGCAACAAAATTACCGCAGCAAACTTCAAAAGCATTGCGTATTCGTGGTATCCAAACTTCGACAGGCTTGGTCAGGATGTTGGGTTTGGACCTTAGCCTAGGTCTGTCAGGAGCTACACCATCATACTAGCCTCAGCTATAACGGTACTTCTGTATAGCTATACCGAAGCCAAAAAATGCCAGGGAATAAATAACTGGCTTCAGTGGAAACTGTCAGTGTAGTTTCGAAATACGTAAAGAAAATATTCAACACTGTTTACTGTTATTCACTGGGGCATTTCGATTTCAAACGGTGTATTCAAAGAGTTTTCGCAGACATCCCATGCGAATGAATCAAACGTTTGATCGGCCACCTGTAACTCAGAACTGGAATGTTCAGTTACTCTCTGGAAACTTGCAATTCCTAATCCTTTCGCGTTTCTGGCGCTTTCCAACGCAGATAGATAGTTGTAGAACACTCAAGTTTCACTAAAAGATGAAATCACAATCGAATGGTAGCGGATATTCAAATTTACACAGGTACAAAATACCTGTGGTTTCGATAGTTTCTCATTAGGTCACATACTTATGAAGGTTAGAACTATAAAATATCTAGATGAAACCGAGTAGAATACGGATGAAATATCTCCAGGTAGACGCTACAGCCGACACGAGGTCGAATGGCTTGACCAGTCTCGCCAATAGAATAATTCTGGTGCACAGACCGACAGAAGACGGACCATTGGTTTGTGCGTGTGTGAGGTTGAATGTATGTCTGTAGTGACAAGCTGTTTCGGCCACATGACTTCGGTGGCGCTTTACATAAGCACTGTGTTGACAACGTGCTTGCTGTGGTTCCGTAGTCAATTGAACCTGTCCCATCTTTCCATCCATTTTGCTGTAGACGAAGTGCTGAATGGGATTTATCAAAATCAGACGTTGGATTCCTCACACCTGCTCATGGATCTCCATGTTTACTTAAAGCTAATAGAGCCAGGGCAGTTTACTTAGTTTACCATTCTTTTGCCTCTGAAGTTGAATATGATCTGTATCTGCTTTCTATATAGTATGGCAGGCCAAATTTACTCTATCCGATGTCTCACGAAACTTGTGCAAGCCATTGCAAAGTGTCAGGTTATCGGGTTGAGAAGAAACCAATGTACCCGAGCCTGCATTTCAAAGACCATTTACCGACAGATGGGCTCTGCGTAATAATGAAAAAAATGTGCAGCTGTAGCACCCTTTCGGTGCCTAACTGCCATTTCACCCTAAGGTTGCACGAGGGCTGGGATACTGCCAGGTCGCCCAAGCCTAGACAGGGGAAGTCGAGAGGCAGAGGTCGGGTTCGTGCCACGGACCTTCCGATCAGTAATTTCGCGCTCTAACCACTTAGTCCCTCTCGCCCCGATGAGGGTTGTCCCCTTCCGAAACTCTGCAAGTGTCAACGTGAAGCCTCTATGAGAGTTGTCCCCTTCCAAAACTCTGCAAGTGTCAACGTGAAGCCTCTCACTGTAGCTCACCTGATCATAGAAGTACACAAAGTGCCTTACCACGACAAATTCTCTTTGGAAGGGTTTGAGAAATCCAGTGGTCTCGACGAAGTTTTTGCGTCGATGTGGGCTCAGGTTTCATAAATCTTGCAACTCCTTCCAACTTGAGAAATCCCTTGCTATACCAAAGCCAAAGTACTACTGTGTCCCGTATGTCAAAGGCAATCCAAGTCATATAAAGTTGTGTCCACCTTGCAATTGTCTAGGCTCCTTGACGACATCTCGTATTCGTTGAAAATATCCGAATAGCTTCTCTCTGTATTTGGTTTTCCAATAGATTCGATTCGATGTTAGATAGTCTTTAGTAGTCACAAGACCAAATCACCTGGAGATTAACACTGTTAGGCCAGATCCTTCCTACCGTACTCTTTTGAAAGGAATTATTCCTGTAACTGGGCTGCAGGCTGCGTCAGGTGTGCTTGCTTGTTTCCATGACCCCCAGGGCCAAGTTCTCGACGTTTCCGCGCCGCAAACGACGAAACGATGTGCTGCTTCAAAGTATCGCATCTGGCTGTATTGGTGCGCACAAAGTTTTCCTTCAAAAATGCGTCTGGAAGTTGAAGGTGTGCACACTTCCCCGTCATTGATTATTACAATGTAAACTCCATTTTATGCGTTGCATAAAAGCCACCGACTTATATGAACCGGTTTTCTTCGTGATTGACCCGGTGGTTATTAATCTATTTTTGGAGTTCGTCAACTGATTTGAAAGCGTTTCTTCACCAGTCGAGGAGACTTCATCGGCGTGCGGTTGATGGGGTAGCTAGTGAAGCTTTTTAGGTGTTTCTTTAAACTTTGACGTGATTGGTTGTTTATAAATCCGATCACCCAATGTACCAATGGTTTCGCGCCACACAACCCGTGTGCCTTGATTGATGGGTGATCTACGGAACTTTATCAACAGAACCGTCGAGATTTACTGTTACAACTGTACACCTTAGACAACCGACACATCACCTTAGTGGCTAAAGCAAGCGAATAACCTTGTCGCATCACTAGTTGTCAATGGAATTCGGGCCCCATCGTCCTTGCAGCATCAGTAACACCACACTTCACTCTTCATCATTCACATTAGTTGTGAAATTTTCACCTTATAAACGTTTTTCGTTTGGCTTAGCTGTGCGCCTTGGGTTTCCTCTTTATGGTATATAGACTTCCGTTTCTCCGCATTCTTGTCACCGATAGAATCAGTTCAGTCTAGTAGTCTCACAACTAAGCGATTAACGAGCCATTTTTGACACTCTCGTTGAGCTAATGCACCAATTTACATCTCCTAGTCCACCAAATGTGGATGTGACATGTCAGCTCACCTGTCGATGACGTTTATACGTAAGATTCTCCAGTCCCTTCCACTGATGTGTGCCACAGGTGACGTGTGCTCATTCTGTCTTTACTTGATCAGGCAATCATGACTGTCACTTTTTAAGAATGTTGGATTTGCCGTCTGTCGATGTGACCTATCCCTAATAGACTGCCTTAATTCTTGGAACGAAATTTTTGTTGCTACTCGCTACCTGATAGTAGTATGATGGGTGGCCCACTTTGTTCAACAGATTTTTTTTGCTTGTTGTTTTCCGATTCGTAGTTGTCGCTCAAATCGTGTCGTGTTTCACGTCGTGGTTATCCCTTTCCTGGTCGCTGACGCATTATCAAACAGCTCTAAGAAGATCCCGCGTGGAGAAAGCCAATTTGACGTGGCTGGGCTCAGTTCTGTTCTTCTTATGGAAATCATTGATGCTAGCCTCCAGAATTCTCGCCCTTGCTCTTTTCGCTGCCATTGTGCAGGGTATGTGGTTCGGGCTGGGCTTGGGATTACACTGGTTGCTCAGTGTCGGTTGGTTGGTCACTCGTGGAACCACGTTCTGCTCTCCTAACCCACGCACTTTCGCAGAATTCCTGTTCGACATGGTCCTTGGTGCAGTGTATTGCTTCGACGTGGTCAATGTACGGGAAGGTCACAGTCGGTTGTGGTATTTAACGTGCTACACTACGATAGGTTTGGAGAATTTGCTGGCAACTTTTCTGTGGCTGGTCTTTTCCTCTGCAGAAGTCACAGTCCCACTCTCTCCTCAACATAAGTGGATGCTGCGTTCGCCAAACCTATCTTCTTGGATTCGTACGGTTCCCCAGTGGGTCTTACCAGTGTGCGTTATCGGCTCATTTGTTCTTGGTGTGTGGATGATGCTGACGTATTATGTGTTCGCACACCCGTCAAAGAATATCAAGGTACTTTCCACCCCCCCCCTGGATTTTTATCCTTCATTCACGTTGAAATTCCTCAGTAAGGGATGCTCTCCGGAGGAGCGAAATACCACTACATGCGGGTATCATAAACGTACTTGACATTATAGATCGCATGCATGTGCGGAACCAATATCACGATTCGTCAAGTATGGATGTGATACCGTGTGCTTTATAACCAGTTTTAGACGGTTTACGCGTAGCTTTGTCATTTATGCATTATATCCAGAGACTCGTGTATGTCCTATTCGTCTGGAAATCCTGGTATCACTGATAGCTGTCAGAGGTGTTGTTGACAGCACACTACTAGTGCTTCGTGTCATTATAAGATGATTGAATTTGTCCGCGTTTTACACAGCGACACGTGAGATTTAACTGTACTAGTGGAATCCGTACTTTCCGGTGACCTTTCTCATCTCACATCTTGTTTCCGCCTCATAGCTTAACAGTCGTTCAAAGTTATCAGAGGATTTGGAACTCATGAGTGTGTTCCGTCGATGCCCTGGTTGGATGAGCTGTTACTGCTTTTCAATGTCTTATATGTCCTATTTCCGTTCAGTTACCTTTTTAACCAGTAGTCTCAACAGTAATCATCTCAGTTAATCTCTTCAGTACCGTCAATTTTTTCAGCTGCAAGGGGTGATTAAGTATCGCTGCCTACACTGCACTGTGGATCCACTGCTAATACGTCTTCAAAAGGGTAGTATGTAAGCTGGGCCTCGAGTGGGAAGCAGGCTTGTCTCCTCCCACAAAGCTCATGTCAGAGACCGTAGCCGAACGTTTCCTGTCCGATAAATTGATAACGCCTGGTACTATACAGTAAACAAAACAGCTGGACGACAAGTAGTGCACACTGAACCTTGTCAGCTGCTAACATGTGGCGTAGGATTGTCGACAGACGTTAACAAAAATGGACACACGAGCAATCAGATCGTAGGAGAGTGAGTGGACCGCAATAGAAATAAGGAGAAAGCAGTCAACGACTCCATGGAGGGCCGTAACTTCATGGTCGTTACATAATTTCGGGGAGTAGAGAACCAGGTATCTGAATGGCTGATATACGAACACATTGTATATCATGTGTATATCAGGGATTGCACCCCTTGTTGCATAGCATCATTGTGCATTGGGAAACTGGCTTCGATCTCACACCTAGCCTACCGGGTGCGACGGTATATGGTCGGATATAGTCAGAAGAGGAAAGCTAAGGAAAGTGGATGGAACTCATGAGTGTGTTCCGTCGATGCCCTGGTTGGATGAGCTGTTACTGCTTTTCAATGTCTTATATGTCCTATTTCCGTTCAGTTACCTTTTTAACCAGTAGTCTCAACAGTAATCATCTCAGTGGGAACTCACGAGTGTGTTCAATCGATGCCCTGGTTGAATGAGCTATTACTGCTTTTCAATGTCTTATATTAACCAATAACATCTTTCCGTTCACTTACCTTGTTAACCAGTAAGAGGATAAATCTCTTTAAGAGTCTCCGTATGTAGTGACCTGCCAGGTCTTATTGGTCTTTCGCCCCACAAAACTCATCTTGTTCATTTAGAACTTCCTACACTCATGGCGAAACTTTGTCGCAACGAAGAGGTATTCTTTTTCTCCACCAGCCGGTAAAAAGCCGAAGTTAACTGCAAGGATAGGTACTCCGATGATTCTTCCAAGATGTCCCTTCGGGGTGCTGATTGTCGTGTGCCACTTATTCCGTTATCCTTGGTTCACTCAACGTGTCTCACGTTTTGTACAGGAAAGAGATGGTTTCAATAGCGGTGGAGGGAGGGAGGTCAAACGATCTAACACTCCATTCCTTGGGGGCAAAAACCGCTACTACTTTTGCTGAATTCAGCGTTGAAATGAGCACTAAAAATGTTTATCGCGTAGACCTGCAGTCGTTCATTTGCATCCAACATACTTCATGAAAACTGTCTTTTCTAAGGCATCTCAGATCTCAAAATATTCATTTTATCTTGACTGGTGCACAACTTTTATCGTCAACATGACACGTTGACTATTCATGGCCAACTTTTTATTAATTTGGGCGCCTCCACTTCCTCACTACTCACCAGTTGTAAGTAGCGTTGTGACCCCTTAAACCTTCACCTCCTCACTACTCACCAGTTGTAAGTAGCGTTGTGGCCCCTTAAGGTAGTGCTATTCACAGCCTGCCAATTTCGGATGACGATCCAAAGGATTCGTGCTTTCTGAACTGAAGGTCAGATTGCGCACAGGCCTTCGTCGCTCCCAAACAAAGCCTTCGTCTCCAGCCAGAGTGCCTTTGTTCACTGCTTAAAGGAAGATTCTCCCAAATGTCGCTCCCCTTGGAATGCATATCAAAGCTGGACAGATGCACCAACCACGAACACAGGTACATTAAAAAACAACCAGAAATTTAGTCCGTCTGTACCGTCGTCACTCCCAGATAAAGTCTTCGTCTCCAGCGAGAGTGCCTTTTTTCACTGCTTAACGGAAAATTCTCCCAAATGTCGCTTGCAGTGCTTACCAAAGCTGGACAGATACAGCAACAATGAACACGGGCACATTTAAAAAAACAACAACCAGAAATGTCTGATGGTTGAGAGTATGTTGTGACTGAATTCGGGTTTACTTAACCGGGACCTTGACTAAACTCTTCACGTCAATTGTTCAACTTATCTGCCATGATACGGGTTGCGCAACCGATAATCTAGGCCATCCTTACGATTCGAAGCAGTATGATAGACTCGATCGACGCAGCTCTTACTCCAAGCACTAGCAAGCAGACGTTTGGATTATTTGCAATTATTTACTGCACTTTCGGAATAGTTATCCAAAATTCGCACCCGAACAATTTTATTGCATCGATGACGCGCAACGCTCAGGTACGGACATATTGACCTGTTAAGGTGGGGTAACTTAGGTGAACCACCGTACGCTTTTGGGTCAGTGGTAAACATTACTGGTTGGTAACAACCAGTTGATGATATTGAGACTCCCATGGCTTTCTGTTCCGTCCACTATGGTACATCAAAGGACACGATAACTTGAGACATTTTTTATAGAGACGAGTGAAGATTGTCACAACCTATTTACAGGGTGACCGAAGTAGTTTCTATAAGTTTAGGCTGGAGTTTTCGTGATTGGTTGAGAACCATCGAACTACAAGTGCTAGATTTTGATTGCTTCGCATTCTGATCAATCACAGCATAGTTTAGTTTGCTCCGTCGCCAGCTCGTAACATCTCCCTCCGATCGACGTAGTTTCCAATTCTCTAGACGGCTCACCTCCTTACAGATTTATCCCATTTTAACTGGCGATTTGTTCACATATGCCATCATTGTTTTCATGTTGACTGACTTGACTGTTTGGTGTGCTCTCCTTTTTCACAGATGTGTGTTCCATGTGATTTACTTTTCGACTGCAATGCAGTTCCCACTATTCACTCGGTTGCTTCGGTACCTCCTATGGATACGAAAGCCTGCGAACCCACTGAGACACCAAGCAATGCAGATTATTTATGAAGTAAGAATTAAAACGGTTTCATCCATTTTCGCTTCGTTGATATTACTTCTGGCGCATTGACCGGTTTTTTTCCCGAGGTCCGAAAATTCTCGACCTTCTTGTTTTTGTGTTTACGAGGCACTAGTCATATCAGAAGAATTTCGCTTTTAAAATAGTGATTCTTGTGCATTCAGTCAGCTTTCTGAGGGTGTGGAAGTGTATCTCACGGGAGCGCACTCGCCTTTGGGAGAGATGAGCTCTGTGGGGCTGAACTATTCGTGCCCTCCTGTCCCACCGATCAAACACTTGTATGTCTCGCACAGGAACGTTGCACTTGCTTCTTCTCCTTCCATTATTGAGATATTCTCGAGCAGATTCCTACATTAGTATGTAAGTCAAGTCAAACCTGCACACAACGATCAGGTGATGTGGGGTGCGGGTTGATTTCTGCGAAAAGACACATGGGGATCAGAAATTGATTGTTTCTAAGGTACTGTGGCATCGTTCCACCGACCCCCAACTACTGTCTTATGGATGTTTAGTTTACTGTGTCAGTCGGTGGTCACTCGTCGTCAGCAACACCAGTGTGCCGCGTTCAACTTCTCGAAAATCACGTCTATTTGTTTAGATAGAGACTTATATTTGGGAGGATAACGAAAACATACACGAATTGATCACACTTCTAGTCTACTACAAACATCCGGTGTACACGATGCTCTAAGCACTAACTCAGCTTATCGCTGGCTTACGGGTAACACGACGTTGATTGTCATGAAATATGACCGTGGCCTTTTTCACTAAGTCTTTCTTTCTTCGTGGTTACGTTATAGTTGAAAAATGCGCGTGAAACGTGATCAACTACACGCGGAGGGCAGTCTGTTTTATGTCGTGGCCACTCATCTATCGATCAGGATTCCACAGCTCTGGAAGACGAATGTCACACTTCTGACACCTTACCTTTTACCGGTGATCCAGGTGAACAGTGCTCATTGCATTTTTTGAACCAATGTCTCAGCTACTAGTCTTGCTTTTTTTAAATAACCTTTTAGCTATTTCCGCCCCTCATTCTGTCCAAACTTTGTCAATGGGCCATCGATGTTTGCATTCTTTTTATTATTCATTTACTCCTCTCCCCTCATTTCTGCTATACTAGTCGCTTTCACGAAAGCAGAGAAGAGAAATATTTGATTTTGGTAAGTCTTTTCTGGGCCGATCGGAGGTGGAAAACCGATACTTGCGAAACTAGATGTAAAGACAGTTGTGTGGTAGGGCGAGCCAGGCTCATGTATGTCACGGAACGCAGCCAGCCAATCAGAAATGCGCCTAAATCTAGATCCGGTTTCGCTTCGTCGTTGGTCCTAAGTCGTTGCCACCTGATAGTTCCCTGTAGTTCGCCATGTCGCGTCCGTTTCACAGGTTTTGTCAGGAAACGCTAATTACCACCCCCTACCTCTGGTCAACTGAAGGCCTCGGGCTATGTGGTGCTATTATACATGCCGCAGAAGTAGTTTTCAGTCAGACTGATCTTGTTACCCTTAACTTGGAGCCACTTATGTTGAGAAGCATGCACTTTCCCACCCCCCCTCCAGCCATTTGCTTCTACGTTTAGGAGCACTAACTTCGGTAAACTTTCATGGAGACAACTTTACTTCGATTGCTTCTTATTTCAAGCATAACCTGCCTCACCCAAGTTTCCCGCATCCTGGGCTAATAAAACCAGAATAAATGTATATTATTGGACTCAGTTCCTGTTTAGGTTGCGGGGATCATGGCGTTTCGTGGTATGTTTTCAGCTGTGGTATGCAACTCTATTTATTTGGGGTTTGAATAGAGCCTGCAGTCTCGGCACAATTACAAACTGTCCTCATCGAATGATCCACGGGAACAGTCGTCAGCTCACCTGGTGGGTTTGTCAGAAGATGTCTGAAGTTTTTTTTTTAAATTGCTGTCGAGTGGCGGGTAAGCTGAGCCAAACTGTTTGAACTGCACAACTTCCTGTTTGGCACTTCGTGAAACCGAATCCTTCGTTGGGAGATTTTGCATTCAAAAATTCCGTGGGTCGATTATCCACAGCTCTTAGTTTGCAACTTAACCTCAATCTGAATCAAGGCCGGTAAAGGAGACAAGTTAGATTCCTAGATTTCTTGGATTTTATTGCTTTGTATCCTACCTGATGCTTCTCTTGGAATCATCTGAAGCTCGGTCTGTACCTACCAGCGCATGAGCAAGTATCGCGGTCTCTCCGTCCGATATGTTGCTCAGTAAGTTCGTCATCGTGGGTAGACGAAACCGTTGTTACAATCTTCCGGAGCAAGCCGTCGATGCGCCTGTCAAACAATCCGAGTTAAAGCTCTGAAGGCGGCGGCATATGTACCGCTCCATAACGACTTTACTACGACCGATGGGACCTCAACACTAAAAATAAACTGAATCTATCAGGTTCTCTATCAGTTTTCAACCGTACAAAGAATTCTTGGGCCAAACTTTGACGTGAATGATCTTATCGAAACTTAAGTGATTACCTTGGTAGATTTCAGTGGAACACAACTGAGTTAGTGAATAGAGGAAACCTAATATATGGCTGGTATCCAGATATCTTATGCACCACAAACTCCACGCTTGGAGCCTAATGTAAACCACGTTTGTGGGTACATCTTTCGTGACCATTTCAGTCATTAGGAGTGGTGGGAGGAATTCGACACCGTGAATCTGTGTATGTGAGGTCACATTCATCAGTACTGAAAATCAAAATGAGGTCAACTAAAGACACTTCAGGGCGTGACTTTTGGGGATCTCAGATTTCTCTGCAAATACCACATGATAATAGGTTTGATTTTAAAGTAGGTCTTGGAATGGTTTGTGTCGTTGTGGTTCATTCTGTCAAGCTGGCCTTCTCAAAGCGAGCCTGAAATGTGGGGCTGCGTGGTGAGCACACAAATACATCCCAGGTTCTGTGAGCTATCCTGGTCGGTCGCCTGTCTTCAGTTCGTACTACACGTCCCGAACCACTACAGTGGAATGTGATGAAAGTCGATCTCTACTCGGTCCGCCATAAGTACTCACCTAGCTCTGAGTTATCCCCATATCTCAGTAAACCAGTACATTAGTCAACACTTGGACGCAGACAAGTTTAGTCTAGTCACACTGGGCAAGATTCCTCAGTGATTAGAGCGCGAATTTACTGACCGGAAGGTCGGTGGTTCGAACCCGACTTGGGAAATTTCCAGCAATATTTCCTCCAAAATAATTTATAACATCGATTCCGTTCGACTGCGAGATTATGAGTTTCAGTAAAAATGGACTCGGTTTGTACATGTTTTCCAATTAAATTATAAGGGTGACAATGATACGTGCGCACAAAAATTACAAATTCTCACCAGTCGCAAGTGAACTAAGCATTAGCAGTTATGAGTTGAAAGTTCCAGTTGAAATCTGAAGGCCTGAATTTTGAAGCAAAACAAAAGTGATTGGGCGGCAACCGACTTTGAAGAGCCAGGTCATGAACGGCTAGAATCTAGTCGGAGATTTTGCGAGTCTCGTTTAGACCATCATGCAGTACGCCCAGTTAGCATAGCTCCCTCCCCAATCCCCACACTTAGCAGTCCACCTACAGTGTTGTATTTACGCACTAATTTATCAGCTCCCGCATCCGATGTGCAGCTACCTACCCCACCTCCCGGAATCATCGGTGAACGAAACTGTGGCAGCTACAACCACTGTACGACAAGCGGTTATTACAGCTGAAAATGATGAATCCTGTTAGAGGGAGCTTTCCTTTTAGAAAACAACTGCAGCAGTACAGAATTTCTTCATTAGACAACATCAAAGCCAAACACCAGGAACGATTTCGTTTGCTGAATTGCTGATTTAGTTCTTCAAATGAAAGACCTCAAATGAAATCCCGGATGTCCGCTGGCTACTGGTGTGAGCAATCACGAAACGCTGCATCCGTCTTTGATGAAACATGATTTTCACTTACAATATTCACTTGGATATACCGCCCTCGCAGAAGGAAACAAAGATTATGATGCCGGGCTATGAGTTTAAGCGGCGCACAGAAATCCTGAATTTGTCGACCAGTGAATCTATGAAATTAATCTCCTAGTTTGTTTGGCTAACACGGAAGGCAGTTGTACCTCCCTTCTCCCAGTCAGGCCCTTCCTTTGTTTAAACGCACTGTTTTCTGCGCCCACCTCATGTATTTGGTATTTGGCCACAATCCCTCAAGAATTTCTGACTCTTAACATCTCGAATCAATTCTGATAAACTTTTCCCACGCTCATATTGATTACTTGAGTTACAACGTGGTGTGCGCAACTTTCTGTTGGTAATTCACGTCCATTTGTCACTCATAACGGATTCCTTTGAACTTGCAACAACTTGTCTCCTCTTCATATACGTATTGTGTACATGCAGCACCGCATTTTGTTCATAAATCCCAAAACTCTTGAATTCTTGGCTTGTGATATCGCGCGTCTCCCATCCATTTTTGGGCTTCGCAGAATACGTCACGTTTTCTAAACCATTCATGACCTAAATAAAATACGAACGACTGCCACATGCGCTAACCATGGTGCGCTTGTAGGTATTAGTATTTTATATTAGTATTTCATAACTGTTCCCCACGAAAAAAGGAAAACATTTCACTGCGACTTCGTTTGTTGGCAAACACTATCTAAGAAGTTACAAGCTTTTGAACGGCTATGAACAGAGTTGTTTAAAAAATGAATATTCTCACGCGTTTTCTTAACATTACTGTATAATCAGTGTAATAATGTAAACCAATTTAGTGGGTTTCTTAAGAAACCTCACCTTCGACATGACCACACACTACTCAGATGCCTCAGCAGTAATATACGTCATTACACACTTTTCGCGTTTAAATGTCGCATAAATGCCACCGGTTCCCATTTGCCTGCAACAGCTGGTCCATTCGGAAACCATTGGGGTGTATCATGTCATCTCCGAGAATGAGTGATAATTACTCTTTTCGATCCTCAACCGTCGTGAATTGTATGAACGTTACCCCGAAAACGAAACAAAATACAGGTCTTGCCACCGGCTGTCAAGCTTCCGCGACCCCAGTCCTCTCCATCCAGGATTCTGATGATCCTTCCACATGACATTTGCGCCTATTGGAAATGGTTATGCTTTTCTACATGCCATTTTCCAGAAGGGCGGTCACGTTTTCTCGAAATTTCCTCCTTTCGCCTTCGAGATCCTCCTGAGACAAGCGTCTTGTCGGCCTCAACTCAATTTCCCGATCAACTGGAAGGTGTGGATGTCGACTGCACTTCATCATGAACAGGCACATGCCTGCGGTTTGACTGTTTCGACGTATGGTGTGCTGAGAACTTCGTGGCTGTCTGATGCCTAGCTTCTGCAAACAATTTTCAAAATCTTCGACGTACTTTTGTAACCAGATTTCCGATAGCGCGAGCTTTTTACGAAAATCTCTGGTGGTACTGGTCCACTCTAGGCGTTTGTGGTCGGTCTCGATGGGAAACTTGTCTTATATCGCACTCCAGCTTATGGATTCTTTGGCGTTTGTATTGCACTGTCTAGTGCTTCATGAAATATCCTGACTCAGTGCTTTTGCAGGTTTCTTTTTCAGAAAGCCAGTGAGCAACACTCTTAAACTAGGTATGCTAGGAGGACCTTAATATTCTCATTCATGCAATACACCACTCATCAGTTTGCTGAAAGTTCTTCGACAGCCTACGACCGGTTTCGCCCCTCTTGGGGCACATCAGGTTGGCGCAGTCCCCGAGCTTTCACTAACCTTACCTGAACCCAAATCGCACGAAATTAGCGAAATACGGTTTTGCGGGAGACTCATAAACAAAGGGTTCGGTTGGATTCCAGGTGAGTCTCCTGCAAAACCAAATTTGTTCACAACGTGCGTATTTCGTTATTTCCATTCTCATCGGTAATCGAAAGGAAGAAGGCCTTCGCTGCGGAGTTATTTATCAAGAAATGCCAACTGACCGGTTACAGACCATTGAACAGGGATGCAAAAAACTGGTAATTGATCAGGTGGCTGTTGATCTGTTCGCCGAGCTTGGCAATTGATCTGCAAACGTTTCGTCACCGTTCGAGGAGATATCTTCAGTGCGCTGTTGGTTGGGTAGTTCCTATCTTCGTGCCTGCTTTTATATAGTCTAAAAAGAGCATTCTTTGCGCTGTAACCTGGATTCTGATTAGCCCATTCTTGATCTGTATTGCGTCGTGGTCGGCTTCTCTGTTGGTTTGTTGCGTGCCTCCTATTTTTTTAGTAGCTTGCTGTTCTATTGATTTCTTCTTTGAGTCCTTGTTCGGCCTCGGGTTTTGTCGTTCTGAATTTCCTTTGACCAAGCTACTAAAAATAGGAGGCACGCCACAAACCAACAGAGAAGCCGACCACGACGCAATACAGATGAAGAACGGGCCAACCGAAAGAGACAACAATGGGCGGCAAGAAATACGGACCACAACTCAACACAGATTAAGATCGGACCAACCAGAATCCAGGTTACAGCGCAAAGGCTGCTCTTTGTAGACTATATAAACGCGAGCACGAAGAGAGGAACTACCCAACCAACAGCGCACTGAAGACGTCTCCTCGAATGGTAACGAAACGTTTGCAAATCAATTGCCAAGCTTGGCGAACAGATCAACAGCCACCTGATCAATTACCAACTAATGCACCCGAGCTACCAATATTCCAACACATTACCAACATGTTTACCTAGCTTTTCAAAAAGGGATTACTATGGTAACCGCCAAGGGAACTGTCATGTGGCTTGCCTTTTTCGAAGGATTTTGTTGTTTCAAGTTGAAATGTTCAATGAACCAAAAAATTATCTATAGCCGAATAAACTGCAGTAGTGTGTCAATTGAATCGGTTACCCAAATCGTGTCCCACCCCTGGGTGGTATGACGGTAGGAACAGAAGGAATGCACGGGGAAATGTTATTGCTCACACACAATAACTGTTGCATATAAAAATAAAAAATAATAACGAATAATCATTGACTAGTCATGACACATTAATTAACAAAAAACACAAACGAAGAATTCGGAAGAGGATGCGTGTAAGGCGGTGAATCTGTTACAAAGGCATATTGGCATGTTTCTTCCACGGGTTCGTCAACGACTTGGTCTGCAGCATTTCCAGATCATGGCAAAGGCGTTTCCGTGTCAGTGGAGGATCTAGGATATCATCCATATAGCCTCGAACAGAAGCTGGGAATGGGTTCGCAAACGTTCGAATGTAGTCCTCTTCGGCCTGAGCCTGGTTCTCTTTTCCACGAAAAATGATTTGGACCGCACCTTTGGCACCCATTACAGCCACCTTAAGGGGGAGAAGGACAAAGTTTTAATTGAAACAAAAGATTATTCGATCAATTGGAAAATGTTTGGGACCGATTCGGAAGTCATCGTTTCAGAGAGGTTTGGTAAACAATCGGTGGATTTATTGCTGGGCGACGTTTCGCTTTTGACACAAAAGCTTCGTCAGGCCAAGTGAGTAAGTAAGCAGGTTGATTGGGTCTTAGGGCAGTCAGGGAACCAATCCGTGAGATTCCTTATGACTAGTGGCTTGATCAATGCTGGGTGTTCAGTCTGATGTTCCTGTTTTTTGGTTAGTGGGGATGACTAAGATTTACGATAGATTGGTTAGGGGAGGATTTGTCTTCATGATGAACCCGGATTTTTCGTTCTTGCTTTTTCAGTCTAGGACACCTTAATGGAAAATTCCTTTTGGGGTCGTTCACAGATTTCGTTCACCTGTGTTTGTCAAAGGGTTGCGGACTACGAGATGATCGTCTAGATTTGTCTTTCTTTCCGGGTATAGCAGAGTAGCGTAAAGAGTAGGCGTAAGGATTGAAAAGTTTGCGGATCGTCCAATCTCAGTGACGATCAAGAGAATGTCAGGAGTAGATCACCAATTCAAGTGTATTCAGGTCACTATTTTAATCGCCACCTTCGAATTCACAAGTCTATTGCGCTCTTAGTCTACCATCTGACGCGAATGAGCCGGAAAATTGCCAAAATGAGCCAAAAATTGCACGCACTTGACTGTATTATAGCTGCTCTGGAGGCTCCATTGGCGAGAACAAACCTGAGATATCGCGTCAACATACAGGAATAGTTCAACCAAGCATAATTTCGACATTCAAGTTCCACGATGCGTCAATACTTTGCGGTTCCCAACCCCTTTACGTCAATTAGAACCATCGAAATAACATGCAGTCATTCAATTTTACGTCACCGTATGAATTCCTATCAACTGTTGCACAGATCTAGCTATTGAACTGGCCACTAAGCCGAAGTTCGGCTTGGCAACGTGAGAACTCGACTGACCAATTTGATGAGTTTCGAAGCCAGCGACGATGCAGAGGCTACGTGAGTAATGCTTCACCATATGGATTATATCATGTGTAAATTGGATCGGTCGACGGATAAGTAACAAGTTAAACACGACTAAACTGGTTAGTCATGACGTGTGTACATCACTGTATATCGTGGGTACCTGGTGTCGAACAGCCGGTAGCCAGAACATGTTATA